CTTGAAAAGCTAGGAAACTGCAATTTTAAGGGGATGTTCCCCGTTCACGTAACTCTCAGCGACCTCAAAACCAGGCATCGGGCATGCGTAGTACCCACGTTTGGGCCCGTGAAAGTTTTTTCGAGTGAGCTCCTAACTCAGCAGTCAGGAAAACTAGAAAGCTGAAATTTTGAGGGGGTGTTTCCTGACAGTTCTGACGGCCAGTCTTAGTTTGTTTAGCTAGGAGCATTTGCCAGAAAAACCAATGCCGGTAACTGCGGGTAACTATGCAAAGAACGCATCTTCGCACGGGTAGCCCGTTCGTTGGCCATTTGAATTTGATGAGGTTACCAGGCATGTCGTGGGTAGCGTTACTCCAAGTGCTGGGTAACACAGTCAGCCTTCTGCTGATGTTAGTTTTCTTTCTTTGCCATGTTGAGCGTTGTGGCCCTGGGTGAAGTAGGAATTAAGGATGCATGTATGTTGTGTGAAATTTGGACCTGTTTGGTTGTAACAGGCGGGACTGTGTAGCAAAACCGTTTGCTTCCGTACTCTTATTGCTTTTTTTTTTCAGATTTTTCCTGCATCGGAAGGCTATGGATGCGGGCGGAATGAAGGAGAGCTTGCATTTGAAAGATGCCATTGCGCCTTTGGATGGCCGACTGGAAGAAGGCAGGAAGAAAAATACAGGTGGGTTATATACTTCATCGTGCTTCATTTGTAGTTATGGAGGGCACTTGAGGGTTTGTGAAAATTTTAAATGTGGCTTCTTTGCGGCGCGCATCTGATAAAAGGGCTTTTTATGCGTTTTCATATCGCTGGTAAGAAAGGGAGTGCGTGTTGTCGTGAAATTGTTTTCGTTTGTTTGGTTTTTGTAGAGGAATTGGGAAGTTCAAATTTTGCAAGGATTTTCCCGGTCCATGTACCGGCTCACAAACACGGGTCATTTCTCACGTACGTCGTGGGTGCTTAGAGACAGAAATTAAAATGCGTTGCCGTCAAACGATTCCGAGGAGCACACAAGATAGAAAGCTGAAATTTGATGTGAGTGATGTTCCCTGTCCAAGTACGACTTAAAGAATTTGAGTGACTTACGCACAATTACCAGCTCAGATTGGAACATCGCGTGATTTGTGACGTAAGCCATTTAGAAAGCTGCAGTATTCCATGATTGTGTGGTATTTTTATCCGGCACCACAGTAAATTGTGCTTTCATGCAAGTCACGTCATTCCCCTTCGATGGTAATGAGGCATGCTCGGGGGCTAACACCGCAAATTCATTGGCCCATCCGATAGCTTTTCTTCTCGGATATGAGAAAAAGATCAACAAGAAAATTTCAAACATGAGCACACCTATCAGAATATGAAGCATTCCTACTGCTGCACGAGAACGCATGGTCATACCGAGAACCCTGGTGCAGGAGAAACTACTTACTGTTCCTGCACTTTTTTTGCCTTAGACGTGTATTTTCAAAATTTTACGATATTACAGCACTGTGGTTTGCTTATGGGACATGTGCGCGTCACTTTCTGTTTCAGGAGACGACGTTCCCACTGGTCCTTTACGACCAAAGCGTGAACGACCAAAGGAGCTTCAGTTTGATTTCGGAGAAACACTTGCCGGCTTGAGGTAAATTTCCTGAACCTTGCTGTCTCTGTGTGTGTTTTTCGCTGAAAATGATTGTCTGCAGGGGTGAAATGGCAGCGCGAGTTGATGAAGAAGAAACGCTTGTCAGAAGTTTGGAGGAAATGCTTCATAAGACCTACAGTACAGGTGATTCTTGCGTTGCCGTGCTTTTTTTTTTCCTCGCGTAATAGGGAATGTTTAGAAACAGTTATAGCTTGTCACATCGTGGACTGCTTAAAGAGACGTTTCGCATCGTTGCAGAGCATACAGCAAGTTCGGATGTGGCTCGGTCATTCAACCTGGCTGTCACGCGCCTCAAGAACCAGATGACCCTGGTTGAATCGGATGCCAAGCAGTTA